CCGCCAAGGCGGGGGAAGCAGAGCAGGGACAGGGGCCTGGCGTCCTCTCCCCGCTGGCCCTCGGGGGAACCTGCCAGAAGCATCCGAGCCGGCTGGTGCAGCTCTACTGCCGGATGTGCCGCCAGGCGGGGTGCGGGCAGTGCGTCTCCGAGGAGCACCAAGGCATCTTCCACTCCGTCAACCTCATAGACACCGTGTACCAGGAGGAAAAAGTAAGCGCGGCGCTTCCCCTCCGCCCCGGGGGTCCGGCTGGGAGGTCGGGCTGTCCCACGGGGGATCCCACCGGGCCCGTGTTGCTTTTACTCAGAAACTCGGGGTAAAACAGCGTGGTGGGCAGGCGAGAGGCAGCGAGGGAGTATGCTGCTTTCAACCAGGAGTCAGGATTTGCTTGTGGACTGCGGGGCGTGCCTTCCCCTGCTGCCGTCAGACTTCGTCCGCCACATATGGGGGACCAGGCGATATTACAGTATCGACAGATCTGAACCAAGCTCACTAAAGCACCTGAAGAGTTGGGGGGGTTTTTTGTTTGGGGTTTGGTTGTGGGTTTCGTTTTTTTTTAGTAGAGAGACTTGCAGTCTTTGCTGAAAAAACACACCGATGCTAAGAGTTTATTGCATGTCTGGATCCAGTTTTTCCAAGTTCAGGAAGATGCTAGTCCTACTAACAAACAAAATATCGGTGGGTGGGGGGTTTTTTTTATAGGCTCTCTGAGCTGGCATAGGTAATTTGGGTCATGATAATTACATATTTAGAAATAGATGGTTTAGGTAAGTAAGAATTTAATAAATGTAAAACTAAAATGCACTCCTGTTTGCGTGAAGAAAGCAACTGCCTGGCCTAATGGTTGGTTGGCTGGTTGTAGTGACAGTAGTTGTGATTTTTGCCAAAATAGCGACCGTTTGGGTAGAACGAGCTTTTCATGCCCTCTGCAAATTGGATGCAGGATGGCATGTCATCTGCATGTCACTTGACTACGGTGCAGTAATTGAAACAACTGCAGGGCAGTGATGAAGAGTATAGGTATAAAACTTTAAGTACAGCACTGACTATTCTTTAAGCCAAAAGTTGCTTTTGCACTGATGCCTCCTGCCTTGCCCATCACCAATTGCATGTCACTTGGGGAAACCAGGGGAAAACAGTCTTTGCACTAGGCTTTCTATGTAAAACTTAGTGATGATGTACTGAGGTAAAGGCAGAAAAAACAGTGATAATCTTACTTTAAAACCAAACAGAAATAACTTAGTTGTGGACGGCTTTCTATTTTACTGGTGTGAGGCATTAAAAAAAAAGTGAATATTACACAGTTACTTGTCAAACTGGAATAACAGCATTAAAACATTGTGATAGATGTGTGTGTGGGGAGAGGTTAAAAAAAAAAAGGCCGAGGGAAACAATGTTTTAACTATAAAGTAACACTGTAGCCATTCTAGCAATATGCATTGTAGGTGAGCCTAAAAACACTGCTTCGAGAGAGAGAAATAGAAAAAGAAAGTTTGTGTACTGATCCAGGAAAGCATTAAATGTTATTAAGTGATGTTTTGAATCACAACCTTTGTTTAATATGTTGTACAGAACATCCCATGATGTGATTCTAGATAACCGCTGAAATGTATTTATATTATGGAGTGGACAAAGTCGTAGTAAGTATTTCGATTGTCTTGCAGTTAACCTTCTTCAGCAGTCTGAAAAAAATGAGAATAATAAATGAGAAGCTGATGAATGAAATCTCAAGTCAACCGAATGATACGGATGTGAGTTACAGATGCTGGATATTTTTTATATATATATGTATATATATAGATATATGTCTTTGTTTCTTTTCTCATGATAGGTTAATCACAACATGGAGCATACTGGTGCTTCTTGTGGCATAGATGTGCTCTGAGCTTACTTAGGGAAGTGACTCCATGTAGACGTTGCTACTGCGTTTTCATCTGTTTTTATGATCTCATACTTCTAGATGATGCTGAACAACGATGCAGAGATAATTGCACTGGAGTTTGGAGAAATTTTCAAAACCCTGGAAATGAAGAAACGGCAATTGCTAGAAGATGTTGAAAATCAAAGAAGTAAAAAGGCGAAAGAATTTCAGATTTGGAAGAAAATGAAGGAAACTCACAAGAAGACCATTGAGAATTTTTTGAAGGATTGTGAAAAGCTTGTCCATGAGTGTGATCCTCAGCGTTTCCTGGAGGTGATGGCCTTCTTGTAATTATTTGATATCAGTTGTATAATGAACCTCAAGTGTCATATAGAGCCTGCTATATTGTAGATTATGATTATGATAATGACTGGATCAGGAAAAACAAATTCAACAAATGAAAAATACAGCCTAAAATTATTTAACACTTCATACTTTTTTTTGTAACAGCGCTTTTCATTTTAGAAAAGTTTGAAAAGCTTTCTTTGCAGCTTATCAGTGATATTTGGTGAATTCAGTAGACACTTATTTTCTTCGCTGAAAACTAATGAAATTAATATTGACTGTATAGCTGTTGCTGTAACACTTGCTACATTATGCCACCAGCTGTGAAAGTAAGCTGCCTTGGTGCTGGGTAGGGAGTTATTTACTTGTATTGCCTTCGGAAATGTCTCACATCTATTTGCTTCTTCATATTTATTTTCAAATGCTTCGTGTATTAAGCACTTTCATTGCATTTTTAAACTTGTAAGATATTAAAAATGCTTTTTGGGGAAAGATTGGAGCCAGAACCGATAACTTGTCTGTGCTGCGCAGTGGAGTGCTGTGTTGGGCTACGTGAGCTAAGGTGATTATACTGATTTTAAAACCTGCTGTAAACTTTGCGCCGAGATGTGCAATGGAGATAAATCAGCCTACTCAAAGCTAGCTTAGGTACTTCTGATATACAGTGTATTACGTAGTATATACACTTCTGTATACAACACCCTGAAAGTCGTCTTTGTAGTGTCTAAGGGAACTGCAGAGAAAACCACTGTTTCTGATTTAGAGATAAACGCTAGAGGAACCCAAGACACAAGCTTAATCTTCACTGTTACCTAAGATAGCGTAGACCTTTTCATCTCGTTTATGTCAAACACTGTGGCTGCAGTTGTATGGAACTTAGGCAGATAGTAGATAGGGGGCAAAGTACTTAAATAACTACTGACTTTTGTGTTTTCTTTAACTTCAAGGCTTATGCTTTCCTAAGAAACCACAGCATATTGCTGTTTTCTGCAATAGGTCTTTTTGCTGCCTTCAGATAAATGAGAAGCTAAGAAAGTACTTAGTTTGACTAAGTTTCTGGTAACAAGTTGTTAAGGAAAATTTCGCTATTACCCAAAGTAAAAGTGACTCGTGCTTTTGGAAGAAATATTCTGACTCCAGTGATTAGTATGCTTTAAACTTAGCACCTTCCCACCTGCCCCCCATAACAGTACACAACTCATTCAGTGGGGTGGGGTTTTTCTTGTTGTTTTAAGATTCAGTACAGTGAGATCACCAGGTTTTTATAGGGAAGCAGTGAGTCTATAATGCAGTCAGTGTTTTACTTTTCATTACCCATTCTTTGGGAAGTGTCACTTGACTACAGCGCAGCGCACGTCATACTGCCATTATCTGGCTGATTTAAAACTGAAAGACAGCTTTTTTTTAATCTCAGTGTAATAGCATCTTGAGAGCAGGTAGCAGAGGCTTCCCTCACCAAGAAATACAAAATAGTCTTTCATTTGAATGTTTACAAATATCTGAACATCTGAAATGGATTAGATAACCATATGGGTCATGATTCATTATTTGAATGCCTTCATTTGGCTCTGAAGGAGTTATTTTTGTCTTTAACACAAAATATTACAAGATAAATCATTGTCCCAGACATACTTTT